CCGCACCCTCCGCCAACCGCATCTTATTGATTTCAGTCTCTACTCGACTAGTTTTTATGCTTAGATATGATAGTACTTGGGCAGTGTAAGTGACTGAGCAAAGCTCGAAGTGATGCCTTTTTGGTAGAGGGTGATATGCTCCTGTGGGCGCAAAGATTACAGTCAAATCCATCGTCACGATTTTATGAATGAACCTTAGATTGGTCTTTCTTAAAGGCAATGTCCGGACAAGATGGGGGTTTTGGGATTTCGCTGCCATTCGAAAATGGCCCTCCTAAGACACAAAACTACGAAAGACGAGGCCGTAACGTCCAACCCAAAGCAAGAAAAACGATCGGGAAGTGGGGAAACTTACACCTTGGGGTGGGGTCCTCCGACTTGTCCGAGCTCCTGCTATGCGGCAGAATACGCATGCCGTCACAGTTAAGTTCTCGCCGTTTTTGCGCCTTTTAAGGTGGATTTTCGGATTCACTGTTGCGGATAACCTCCGATAATTGGATTTTCTAAAAATTGAGTTTTTGCCCGAACACTGTCTTTAAAGGCAGTACATCGGCAGAATGAGACCCCTGACAAAACAAGGTCACAGGGTAGGAGCCCCCATATGGAACCTATCGGCCAAAGTCCGATCTTTCTCTTCCACTTCTAACCCCCGAAATTTCAAAGCGAAATCAGCGCTCATCTCCTGTCCTCTCCGAACCCGCCCACCCCATGGACTAGTGAACGCGAAGCCCGTCATGGCGAAGACGCAGAGTCGTTGCGGGACCTCATGCTTATAGCATTGCGGCTGGCTCTGACCGCGGAAGTCACTCGTACATGGGGTGGGCGGGTTCGGAGAGGAGAGGAGATGAGCGCTGCTTTCGCCTTGAAATTTCGGGGGTTAGAAGTGGCAGAGAAAGATCGGACTTTGGCCGATAGGTTCCATATGGGGGCTCCTACCCTGTGTCCTTGTTTTGTCACGGGTCTCATTCTGCCGATGTACTGCCTTTAAGCGCCTAGCTGAGCTCTCAAGAGACGAGCAGCGGTTGTACATGGGATTTCCCTTTAATTCGAGTTTTTAGAATCGAAACAAAATGCGTCACAGCTTTCGTCGGCTTTCCTAAAAAGTCTACTGCATATTTTACCTTGAATACTCATATCGCCTCAAAGCCAATACCATCATACAAAATACGTCAGTAGTTATGGAGATTAATCATAGGATTTTATCAGCGACTAACTGAGATAAATCTCGGTCCTTTTATGGATCTATGAAACTTCACTTCGTTCCACTCCTGGAAACATTTCCTTGTCCTCATCCCGGGAGGCGTGCAAGTGTTAACCAGGCAGCCGCCTGGTGCCGCAGCCAGCCGCCAAAGCTGGCACCTACGCCGCGGCTGAGCTACCGTAAGCGCGCTCTCGTCGTGCTCGACCTCTCGCAGAGACCTCATCGCGCTGAGGTGCGAGAATTCCCTCAGACGTCGCGCTACTGCCACATATTGTATATCGATCAAGACGGCAGGAAATATGTAGTTTATTAGCAAGATAAAATGTAAAATACAAAAACAAAGAAGTTCTAAAAAAATAAATTGATGGAATAATTATAAAATTAAATTAAAAGCATAATATTATAAAATGAGTTTTGTTCGTTTACTAGGCAATTCCTCGTTTTTTTCTTAATCTGAAAATTAATGAACTCCCTAGTTTTAGAGCTGCATCCGCGCAAATCACTAGGGTAGAAAGGGTGTATCCCATTACTTGTGACTGTCAATTACGCAGGCGCCGCGCGCGACAGGCTAGCAGTAGCCAGTAGGGGGAGAGCTTGGGTAGCCGACTCGCAAGGCATAATATCCCATCTTTTATGTGTTATCACACTTTTAAGCAGGGATAGAAAAAAAAACAATTATAAACCGTTTACGCGATGTGTGGCGGAGGTTTTGAAGTTCGTGAAAATTTAAAATGAATGAAGGAAAATTTTAAAAAAATCTCAGGTTCCAATTTTATTCGCCTCACACAAAAGAAAAATCGCGAAACTGACAAGTTTATTTTTGACTACATGGAAGAGAAATTAGATGGAAATTTTAGAATGTTTCTAGATTATGAGAAAGTGATGAGGTTTTTTGTGTATTTTTTATTGCTTGAAAATTTTATTGGATTTTGAACTTTTTTGTTTTGTGTATTTTTTGTATCGTATCTTACTAATAAACTACAAATTTTTTGCTGTCTTGATCCATATATAATATGTGCAGTAGCGCGACCTCTGAGCGAATTCTCGCACTTCAGCGCGATGAGGTGCGAAGCTGCTGCGAAAACCTCTCTGCGAGGATCGCGGACTACGAGAACGCGCTTACGGTAGCTCAGCCGCGGCGTTGGTGCCAGCTCTGGCGGCTGGCTGCTGCACCAGGCGGCTGCCTGGGTAACACTTGCTACGCACCCCAAAAACTTTGTCTAGGGCGATGTCCGAGAACTTTCTTTCCAACCTAATAAATGCAACAGCTGTTCCTATATAGATTTTTGCCATCCTTGATCTCCGGTGCTGATAGGATACAAGAGGAAGGGGGGGGGGGAGGGGTGAACGAGCATGCTACATACACAAACAAGGGGCATCTGGCATATATAAGAGTTTTTGTTTCGAAGTAAGCACTAATTGGGGCATGCTGCGCACCTATGGTAAGCGCAAGCCTTATCATTGTTCTCAGTGAAATTCAAGCGCAAAATCTAAAGCATAGCTTTCTGCCCTAACCCAGATCTCCAACTTACAACAAGAAAATTGAGGTGATTGAAAAGTGGCAAATTCCGTCCTTATTGACTCCATGCTCCTCCCACTTGCTTGCATTTCAGCCAGCAAGTGAGAGTACAGCTGCAAAGTTCGCGTATGTACATGCATTAGATTTCAAGATATAACGGATTTGGTCTAAAAATGTCCGAAAATTTTCTTTCCAACCTAGTAGAACCCCTGTGCCAACTCTAGCCCCGTAGCTCAAGATTGCAAAGATTCATAAGACCGTTGGTCAGTAACGAAATTAGCCTAAGACACCCGTCTATTCCCGAGATTTATGTCTGTAAAGTTTGGCCCAAACCCGTCCACATAATGACTTTTTCTATTCGAAACAGACGTACACACATACACACATAGTCTATGTCAATTAGTTTCCTCAAAGATCGGTATGAGCATGAAATCTCGAAAATTGAGATCATCGTTCCTTGTGCATCTGTTTCCAACATGGAAAATTCAAAAAAATCGACCTGCGAATTCCGACCGGTCAAAATTTTGTAAGCATCGATCGCAATATCATTACCTTTTCGGCTGACATAGTTCGAAATTGCCCAAATCACTTTATCACCTGTCCTGACAACAAAGTTTAGGGTCACATTTGTCAAGCTTCTCACAAAAACGACGCAATCAAATTTTCTCATGACGTTCCAAAGCGTACCGCCGTAATGCCGATCACTCTATCTTTGCTTTACGGACAGAAATTCTATTAGCAAAATGATGTTCTTGGAGATTGATGGGGACGAGCAAGAAAATGCAAATCTCACAATGAGATTAATATGACTTGAAAATTGTTATGAAGATGTCAGATTGTGAACTTGATATAGACTGCGCAACAAGTTTTCGACTGATTTTTGATTTAACGATTTTCGACATTTGTCCAACAAAATTTCAGATTGAATCAACTCGATCTAAAAGACCGTGAGGAGGTGCATCATTGCTCAAAGGCAGCAAGTACAGTGCCAGAACATGCAAGATGCATTGTGAAAGTGCTGGATAAAAGCAAACCAATATGGAAGACAAAATCTGGGATTACGGCTGTATCACGGAAGAGTGAGCTACAAGTTTCAAAGTTTATATCAGCATTAAGATGATTTATTTTCACTACCGAGGTTTTTCTGAAAAAGAAGGAAGAAATTCCATATTGTTTCTATTTCGTTTCTGAACACCTTTCATACTCTGCTGTCTAATGCACGTGCCAATGGCTACATCGTTTTGAACCTTGCGCATCAGGTGCATAGGGGAAGTAAGTCACGCCCTCTGGGTAGTTTAACTCAGGGGGAAGGGGTCGTATCTGACGGTCGTGTGCCATACCCATTGCTTGACCCTGATGATAGCAGATTCTAACAAGGGATGGATACACCTGGTGGAAGTGGCGATTCCAAATGAAAAGTACATTGTCTTATAGAGCATGGAACGCTGATTCCGAACCTGCTTTCGGTATCTGCAAAGCGCTTCTAGGAGGGACTTATGAAAAAATTCTGAAGCAAAAATTCCAAGTCTTAACTACAAAAAAATCATTCAAAAGTGTAGTCTGCAAGCTCAGATGGAATCACGTTTACTCGGGAGACTTCGTGCAATTACCTTTAGTCTGATGAGTTTAAGCTAGTTAGTTACTCCATCCAAGCGCCGGAAAGCGAAGAAATGCTCGTTTTTACTCTATCCAAAACCTTGCATTTTTCCCTTAAAAATTTTTCATAACTCTCATCCCAGAAGCGCTTTGCAGATAACGAAAGCAGATTTGGAATCAGCGTTTCATGCTCTATGAGACAGTATACATCCCACGTGGAAACTGCACTTCGACCAAGTATCTTTATTTTGTAAGTAACGTTTGGCTTCTATCAATTTCCACTCGACCGTATAGCCATTTTGAGCTTGCTATTATTCAGGCGATTTTAAAAGGGGAAAGAAAACCCAGTAATTATAAAAAGTGGCCTACATCGCCCTAGGAACATAGAATGCACGAGGGGAAAGTGTGACGCTTATCGGATCAAAGAGAAGTATGCCACGCACTTTTCTTTCCATACAATCGTATGCACGCAAACAGAATTCTGCTGCCTATACGAAAAGATAACCAAATTTTTTGCTAAGTCTTGCACGATTTGATCCGTAATGAGCGGCTATCAGGAGCAACGGTCATTGCGATTCTCTAAAATTTCATTACGGTGAGTCATGAAACTGCACTCTTCCATTCCAATCACCCGTTTTCTTGTATTCGTCCATCACACAGCTTAGTGGCTGCTAGAGGACGATAATGACAAAGTTCCAGAGTTATGAATTTGATCAACCCACAGACAAAGTTCTCGTGAGATTTGAAATCTTGCTTTTAGATAAACGTCTACATCGGTTCAAAAGTAGATCGATCACAAATGCGAAGAAAAGCTTTAGCAAGCCAGTGAAGGAAACGCGCAATTCTAGCTGGATTGGAGGCTTCAGAGTAGCAAGATCAAAGAGAGAAGTGAGCGCAGCTGCTTAACGACTGTAATTGAATATCAGTGTTCAGATTTTGAGCCGCCCATCTTACAACATCTCTTTTGAAGATGATGACACTCTTTTTACAAAAGTAGCACGAAAACTCACAAAGACTATAAGATCTTTCAAAGATAAGCCTGGAATGGAATCGTAAGAAGCATTGAGCATTGAGTAATCAGAGTTGATTTGATAATTTTCTGCAGTTGGCGCTTGGCCGTACAGCGAATCAAAAAAGTTGGGGCTGTAGCACGAGCACTAAGTAAAAGGCGGAAGGAGCTGAAGAGGAGACTGAAGCATTGGATTGAAAATACACCGGATGAGTTTAAGGACCCACGAAAAGATGCAGCACTGAATCAGGTGATAAATTGCTCTAGTTTGCAAAGCATAGATTTTCGTTGCAGATGGAAGCTGCAGAAAGAAAAGCAAAATTGCAGAAGTTGCTAGCAAAACGTAAAGGAGATGAGGTGAAGATACCAATGAGATTATTGCGAGAGTCTATAAAGGTACATTTCGATGTTAAACCCTGCATCGAGCCAATCTCATTCGTACAAAAAGCAAGCCAGGCTGAACACCGAAAGCACTTGAAGACTCAATAACCCTGTAGGTGTGGTAGCACAAAATGATCCTGCAGTTGAATGACACTTGATTTCATTATTTTGAAAAGATGAAATGCACTGATGTTGCAAATCAAAACCTCTTTGTCCGTGAGTTCACAAAAAGATTCATGACATCAAAAACGGAGTTAGCAGGTGTGACACTATGAAAGGGGGCGAAAATTAGAAAAGTTGTGTCCAGTATAACTTCTTAGGCATTGGGCATCCTTGCGCGATTTATTCCTGCGCGATTACTCCACCGGACATGTGTTCCTGATTTCCCGCGCTCAAGTAGTTGGGTCCCGCCGCATTTGTGCCAGTTTGTAGGAGCGAAAAATCGCATGCTATCGCGAGCAGTTTTTTGAAGGGCATATCTTTAGTGACGATATCGCCACGACATGGCCGAAACTGTAGAAAATCGCGTCGCAAATTCTGCACCAGTGACGGGCGATATGTCGCGTCGCTTTCTTTTTTTTGGAAAGATTTTTCTTCAGCTTGAACTGTTGTACATGCGGATAGCACCACATGATCTGCGCTTTCGCATGCTCACTTCCCACTAATGCTTATCCACTTTTTCACTTGCTCAATTCTGTCTCTATCCTTTCCAATCATCCTTTTTGACTCTGAATATACGGAAGCGTTTTAAATTGCCTTGGCAATAGTCGTAAGTGTTTCTTCTTCATGTTTCTTTGTATTTTTCGCTTTCCTTTTTCCTTTTCAGAAATTCTCGAGTACTTGAAGGTTTTTCGCTGTGTAATTGTCTGTTGCTCTAGTGATACTACTTTCACGACTGCTGCTACTCTTGGCTTGCCTCTGTGACTGCGGACGTGTGGCTATGTCGGCAACTTGCAAAAACTTGTCGCCAGCATGCAATAGCATGTTGGCGGCAAGGTGTGCCATTTTCTAGCAACATGTTGTTGCATGTTGCAACATAGCCAAACGTGCCCTAGTCAGAGATGCAAACCAAGGCTAGCAGCAGTTGTGGAATGGACGATGCTGTGGTGGACGCGTCTCTGAGCATAACTAGCGTCATGAGATTAGTGTATGAAAAGAAGTGAGATGAAAGCTGTTAGACAAACTGAAAGACCAGATAATGCTTTGAGTTCATTCGAGCGTGACGTTTGAGCCATGAGTTTGTGAAAGGTATAGGGTGAGCGATGTGCTGTAGTCCCGAAGCGAATGGACGCCGAGGCATTCGATGCCCCAGCGATGAGAATCCCTACGATGGAGTCGCCGAAGGTATGCCCTATGCCTTATATTTTCGTAATAAGGCATGCTGAATACAGCTCAAAACGGATGGGCAGCGTTATGCTAAGACATCCGTGAAAGATATGAAGGTTTTCAAAGTCATGCTTCCCCGCAGAGAGTGCATGCGGCTTTCAGGCTCAAGTAATACAACCTACAAAATATTGCTTTAATTGTAAGCTATGTGTTAGCCGGATTTTTAAAGTGTTTGATCACAAACATAAATCGCAGACATCCTGAACAGTATATAGATTTAAGGGTTAGGGTAGTGCTTTGCGGCGATGATTACTTTGCTCGGAAACAAATACCCTGTTTCACGAGTACAGGACGCACCCGTTTTTCCTTTTCTAAATTCGACCAACCTGAACTCATCAAAACATCTTGCGACCGAAAGACCCCATACAATGCTGCGCATCGCCTGAAGTATCGTGCGGCATAAGTCTTATTTTCCAAACACGGCGACGCAGCTGACTGGCCGTTTGGAAAATTGAGAGAGTTGCGTCCTGTACTCGCGATTTTAGGATACTATGCTTATTGTCCAGAGTAGGTGATGTCGTCTGTAGAAGAATACCATATGGATCAAATCTTTCATGTAAAGTCGCAGACAACGTGCACGACAATGATCTTATGCCCCTTGAAGCTCATCTTTGTACCCTGTTTTCAGTTGTATAAGCCGCACTTTTTCAAATATTCCCACGAGCTGCTCAGTCGCTTCATTGCGTTTCGAGAAGCGATCCTTTTGCCGCACGATTTTTTCAGGCAATACGCAGCACGGTGTAGGGTCCTTTGGTTGCGAGGTCCTTTGATGTGTTCGGGCTGGTCGATGTAAGCTAGGACCACCCCTGGCGGCTTATACACCTGAAATTAGGGTAATATTAGCAATTGTGATAACTGCGATAGCAATTTTGTAAAAGAGCAGGACAACAGTTCCTATCAATACCAGTAATTCTTCGCCCACAACGTGAGTCATAATTTTGTTATTTCCTATTCAAGTACTATAAGAAAAGAATTTGACCTGAGCTGGGATAAGCGGTAAACGAACATGGTGCTCGTTTGAGCTGTCTTACGTCTGCCTACCCTAGCTCCATTCGTGCATTTAATAATTACAGATGCTCTTGATTGCCTCCGGTAAGAACGTAACTAACTTTGACAAGAAAACGATAAAGTTAATCTCACCAAGATTTTTGAGTTTGGTACCGGAACAGGATGATGACGAGCTGGTGAGTCATAATTTTGTCGCTTGATACGTCTATGGTTTCTCATTGACTTGCTATTTAGTTCAATGTCCTCTCACCTTCGTTATTCTCCCTGCATCAAGAAGGTAACGATGTCGAGAAAGCTATGTCACTTCATCATATGCTGAAACAGTTACCCAACAAAGATCAAGAAGCTTGGCTTGACTTTATTGTAGAAGCGGCAGGTAGGTTAATGGATTTGCTAAATAGAATCCACATCATACTGCTTGCGTCGGAAATCCGCCGTTGTATTCATGGCGTAGAAAGCCTATACAAGCTGTCTCTTCATATGAGTATAGAAGGCATAGCGTACACGAAACAATTTGAGTTACTTTCTTTTCTCGACATCGTATCCCAAGCGCATAGAATGCCTCGTCTCCGCACTCCTCATAGCGAAAGGATATAGCTCGTTGGGCGAGAAAAGATGCCCATAAAGGGTGAAGCTCATTCTATTTTGCGACAGCTTTACCAGGAAGTTTGTATAATAAATATTCGTGCAGTTTGCCGGTTGGGAGGATGTTTCTTTTGAAGTTTAATCTTCCCAATTTTGTCGCTGCTGACTTTTCCGACATTGTTTACACTTCTGTCTTTACCTTGTCTTGCAAACCTTCCTACATGCGAAACAAAGTTCCGAATGAGTCACATAAAACACATCTTTTCCACTTGCCCTTACACTTCAATTTATCTTACTTATCTTGTCACTCTTTATGGATTCAGCATTGCGACACAGCTCGCGTCATTCAAGAGAGAGTGTTCTGTATGTAGAAAAAAGAAAAGCAAAATACAGTAAAGACCTCAATTACGAAACCTTGTTATACTTTCCCTACTTGATGCATATTGCGCCAGTCTGGGTGGGTCTCAAGAGAGTCTCTTGGCAGATAGAGATACCCTGGTTTTGATTCAATTTTCTGTACTTCTTCGATGAGTTTTACAACTAATACCTCTCCAAATTAGTTAGTGGCCATTTCAGGACTACTTGCTTGACTCTAAAGCAAACACTCTTAGATACTCACGTTTTCAAAACCATTGTAGCTTTATTTGTCCCAAACTTAGGTCTTTCCCTTAACCAAGACAGATATTCAATGGTCGATCAAGGCTGAATAGAGAACATAGTTGAGCCACGAGCTCACACTATGCTATGGGGAGTCTCGCAATACCCATATCAATGTTATATGTTTGGTTAGCTTTGGTTAGTTTTGCTTGCTTTTACAATACCGCTAAACCGATTTGTCTCACAGGTATCGCAGAGACGGAAGAAGCAAGTGGGGGGTTGGTAGGAGTAGCAGAGAAGCGCTAGAGAGAATGCAATCTGGCTGTTGTCCGCGCCTCCGTAACGTGCAATTTTTCAAAATCATTTGGATTGCAGACGACGTCACAATGCCACTTGAAAATGGAACGGACCATATGTGTTGGTCTGCGCGATTTTTTAGTTTTCGTATATATTTTCCTCATGCCAGCTTTACATTCCCTCTTGAGTCTCTTCGAACGTTTCCCTCTGAAGCAAGGTGCTTAACCGTCTTAGTTTCTTTTTCGCATGTAAACACTGGATTTGTCTATGCGCCAACCTTGGTTCTGGTCTAAATCTCTTACTTAACACCTCCACCTCCAAGGCTAACTCGTGAGAATCTGAGATGTGATTCTGACATCTGAAGTCCTGTACCATACTTGTTTCCATGACACTGAATCTGTAATCTAGTTCCGCCTTCATGAACACCAATTATGCATACAGTGCTGCTATACGAACTCGATGTTCGTATTGTTCTTTGAGCCGCGGAGAATGTGAAAGAAGAAATATAACATCATTTGCAGCTTATCAGTAGCTTTCACAGACCCGATGACCTTTGTTTATAATTCCAATGCTTCCGATATATAAGTCGATAATAAGACACGACAGATTCAATGTATGCGTATAACATTTATTTTCTTATTTTCTTACTTTGTTTCTTCTCTTGTTCCTTTTATTCTTCTTCTTACTTTGTTTGTTGTTTGCTTCGCAGATCACAGACCTTTTGGATAAACTACACAGCCACAGACCCAAAAGTCACTTTTGCCATGATAAAGCTTTACTACACACAGTTTGCTCATCTTCTACTTATTCACAGTCCCATTATTTCATGATTCTCTTCTTCATAGAGACGTCACAGTATTGAATATCCTTTCGCTTGCACTGTTCGTAGTTGTAGTGGGTTCGATTGTTTGCCTTGTTCTCACAGTCCTTTTGCTCTAGCCATTTGCATCTCTTTATGCTAGTTTAGGCTTAGGTCCTTTAGGTGACTTTAGATTAGTTTATTAGGGTTAGTTTATTTTGATGTTTCGTTAACGCATAATATTGTTTACCTTTCTAATAATAAAGTTTAATTACCCAAGTTTGAGGTTGCTCTCATCTCGTGCGTACGTGCAAGTGTAAGTCCCGCGTGGCAGCTATTGGTGTTCACAGCCCCCATAAACAATTCAAGTGGTGCATCGGCTAAACACAGGTACGATTATTGCACGTAATAACGCCTTCTACTAACACGCACGAGTACACAGTTCTAACTTGCAAGAGTTCATACTCTAACTCACAGCAACCTCGAACACAGATACTAACATAAAGGTAGTCCACAGTATGGCTAGCACAGTTAGGTCTCACAAAGGACTAGTGACCAAAAAGAACCAAATCGTCCGGGCATGGCTAGAGGAGTCGACACAGTTCCTTCAAACTGTGCAGCAAACAAGCACACAACACGAACACAGCAAAGAGCTGGCGCTAGCTGTGTCGATGTGCGACGAATATCTACAGCTTCTAGAAGTCTCATTGACTAAACTCACAGAATCTTTTGATAAACTCGAAGAGACCACGGACGAGGACGAAGACAAAATTGACAAGTACATAGAGAGCATAGAAGAAACCATTGTCGGACTGCATGCGCACAGGTCAAACCTCAAGAGAACACTGCAAGAGGATAACACAGGAAGTATGCACAGAACAAGCCGGCCTAACGACCAAAGTTCAGTAGCAGTCAGCAAGCTTCCTGTAATCCCTATCCCAACTTTCACAGGAAAGAAATGGGAATGGGATAATTTCTGGGCTTTATATAAAGCCAACGTCCATGATCAAGATTTGTCACAGCTGCAGAAATTCAATTATTTGCTGACATCATTGAGCGGGGAAGCCAAGCAATCAATAGCTCTCTTTGTGTCAGCAAATAATTACGACAAGGCTATTCAACACCTTATCAAGCGATATGGCAACAAGGAAGGCATTGTTCTCGAACTCAACAGAAGCCTTCACAGTTGCGTTGCCAGAGGCCCCAGCACAATGGAACAACGACAGTTATGGGATAAACTGTCTACAATAGCCGCACAGCTAGAGGAGCATGAACAACAGCTCAATAACCAGTTAACGGTTCAAATCTTCCTTCAGAAATTCCATACGCGCATAAGGAAAGCGGCTATGGAAAGAAGATTAAGACAGAAGGAAGAAAACCAGCCCGAGTGGACTTTGGACCAATGGCTTGATGCCATTGATGACATAATCTCACAAGAAGAACAATTAAATCACATGCTCTCAGCTGAAAAGCACTTTAGTGAGCACTCGCCTCACAAGGCAACACCATTCAGAGAAACTCCACAGTCCAAAGAAAAATGGAAAGTAATAATCTGTTGTGAATGCTGTGGGAATAAAGGACACAGGTGGAATACTTGTCCGCAGATACCCACAGCCACACAGAAGAGGAGGTTTCTCATAGACTCAAACAGGTGTCTCAATTGTGGCTCCGCTAATCACAGACTAACCGCATGTCTCAGCGGTAACTGCAGAAAATGCCACAAGAAACACCATACATCAATCTGCTTAGAAGACAGAACAAAGGAACCTGAGAGTCATGGCAAATCATTATCTGGGCCTCAGAAATACACGGAAAAGAGACCAGTAAAAATCGAAGTAAAAAGAGTAAGCAAGCCTTATCACTCCTCCAAACAACATGCAGTAACCAAAATAGTGGAGCGAGAAGAGCAGCGTCATCTCACGGAGGACCAAGAACCAGTAAGAGATACCGTACCGGAAGCTCCATTGGTACTGCAAGTAAAAAACAAGAATAAATGGAGACAAAGCAAAGTGATCTTACTCACCGGGGAAGTTAAGATCATCAACGACCAAGGACGATCCAAAAACGTAGTCGTACTACTGGACACTGGCTCCGAGCTATCCTTCATCGAAGAAGGACTCGCAGAAGAACTGGACTTGCCGATAATTGGCACAACAACCCTGGAACTTAGTACATTTGGATCACCATCTCATAAGATGAAATCATGTGCTATGACTAACCTGATACTATTGGATCGGAACGGCAAAAAGCACAAAGTACAGCTCTATAGAAACGACTACATAACCAGCGCAGTACACAGAGCAAACCTAAGCAAGAATGATTTGCAGTTTATTAAGAAGAGAAATTTCGACTTATCTTTGCCAATAGAAGGAGGAGAATTACGACCACAGATCTTACTGGGCTGCGACTATCTCTGGAACTTCATAGAGCCAGGCAAGAAATTGGACTTACCATCCGGGCTGCAACTGATACCCACAAAATTGGGGTACATCATCAGTGGGCGGCAAATAGGTAGCAATCAGAGATCTTCTTCGACCGGCAAACCAGCAATAACCTGCACGTTATGTGGTGGTGAAACCGAGAAGGAGATATGGGACCGCTATTGGTCCTTAGAATCAACCGGTACAGAAGAATTAACACAAAGGAGAAAAAATATACCCACTTCAACAACATCCGTATTCACGATGATGGTTCTCTCTCTTTGCATACAAACAATAACAGGAGCGCGGAGCAACAACAACCATTCATTACAATGCAATGAAGGAGGAGTAATTCTAACGCAACTCACTCAACAGCCATACGAAATCTACGCTGAAGACTATTGTGTGGAGTTCAGAAATCCAAAACACGAAGAAGTAGTAAGATTTCCGCCACACATCACACTTCACGATCATCGCGTCAAATGGAAGACGTTCGACGGCACAGACGTAAGTATAATAGAGACTACCTGTAGAGCAGCGCCCTTCTGTGGACAAATTGACTGCATCTTCTGTTCAGTGATGATAGCAAATCCAGAATGCTGGCCTAGAACAGCCATTTTAGCCACAGGACTCATAGTTTACGCAGGAGTAGCCGTGTGCTATTGCCTCTTCCACGTA